CTCTTACCCCTTCCCTCACGCCGCTGCAGCCACGCAGCCTCCTCGCTTTTCCTCGAGTGTGTGAAGCGTGTGTCCACCTCAGGGCCTTTGCACTTGCTGTTCCTTTTCCCTGAAATACTATCCCCCTAGATGACTACAGGGCTTGCTCCTCCTCATCCTTTAAGTCACAGATCAAATGTCACACACTCAGCGAGGGCTTCCCTGACCATCGTGTTTACAACAGCCCTCTCTCTGTACCACGAGTGGCCCCCAGGGCACACCTCATCCTCTCACACACTCTGCATTGTTTGTTTTGTCTGTCTCCGTCTCTAGAATAGAAGTTCCATGAGGTAAAGGCCCCGCCGCTTAGAATGGAGCCTGGCCTTGGCAGGCCTTCGATAAGCACTCATGCAATAAACGAATGGACTTAACCACTAGGCGACACAGCTCAGAGTTTCTTAGGTCATCATTCAGCGTCCCCAGGGTGTGGGTGTCGGGGGCATTCTGAGCCTACGGACAGGGTCTCTGAAGAGGGGAGATGACTCCCCAAGGGTACAGGGAAGTCACAGGGTCAGTGGTCCCTCCAGACTCTTCTAGAAGAGTAAAGTCCCTCAAACTGTCCCTCTCTTTCCCCGAGGAATGGTCCTGGTACCTGCTGCCTCCTGGGCCGTGTTCACCTTCCTGATGAAACCCATTTCCCAAGGTCTGAAGGACCCATGAACACTACCAAGGAGACAGGAGGTTCCGCTGGGCCAGGAGTCTAGAACCTCTGAGTTGTAAGGGCTCTGAGTGCATAGAAAGGGAAACTGAGGCCCAAAGAGGAGAGAGACTCACCCAGCATGGTGGGCAACACAGGCAGGACACCCTGCATCAGAACCCCAGGAGGAGGGCAGACGCAGGAGAGGCAGGCGAGGGCTGAGCCCTGCTCCCCGGCCTCGCTGCGTGACCTGAGGCAAGCCACACAACCTCTCTGGGTCTGTTTCCCCAGCATGGAAGCCCTGTGCTTGAAGCTGAGCAGGTCCAGGAGGGCCCTGGCCCCCACCCCTCCAAAGCGCCCCCAGCACGGAGCCGCCAGGCCTTCCTGTTTACTCGAGGCCCCTCTTGCGGCTGGGAGGCGACAGCCTTGGCCTCCTCTGCTCCCTGCTTCCTTCCTCTCCCACTTCAGCGCCTCCGGTCAGCCCCTTAGGGCCCCCGAGGCCAAGACTTAGGGGCGAAGTCCAGTGGGGGCATTCGAGGCCACCACCCCAGAGGGCCTACCTGGGAGCGCTCCTTCTCTGAGACCCTGAGGTTATAGGGACGCTGTACCTTTCCTCTGGCTGGTTGGGGTGTCCCAGCACCTTGGGACGAGCCATTTCCTGCAGTGCCCCTAGAGACACGAAGAGTATGACAGCATCTGCTGTCCCAGATCCGACACCACGCCCACTCTCGGCCCACCAGTAGAGGGTGAGCACACGCTGGCTTTAGGGGTGCCTCTTCCTTCCCAGCTCTCCCAGGGTCTCACCTCCACAGGGCAGACTCTGAGCTGCCTGACGTGTGGGCCGACGACCTGCAGCTGGGCCTGATGGCCCAAACCAGACCTGCTGAATCAGAATCAGCTTTTCAACAACTCTGGGGAGGCTGGCAGGCACTTAAAGCTGGAAGCGCTGCGGATTTGACCATCCCGCCCAGTTTTAAAACATTTCGTGAGCCTCCCCTAGTAGGTATTCTTGTCCCAAAGGCTTAACTTGAATTTCTGAAGCCTTTACATCTAACTTTCAGTTTACAAGAAATTCAGGGGTTGGAGGAAGAAGTCAAACACCACCACGAGGAAGCAACGGACAAATCTAGAAGGAGGAATTTTCTGCAGGACAATCTGTCCCTTCACAGGCCAATGTCATAAAAAAAAAAAAGGGGAAGCCATTCAAGGGTAAAGAAGCTTGATAGACATCACAACTAATGCAGCGTCATCCTGGATTGCCTCCTGGTTTGAACAAAGGCACTTTTGAGGGACAATTAGCGACAATTGCATGTAGACTGATTATTATCCATTGATATTAGTGTTGATTTAGTGTCATCGAAACTCTGAGTTGTGGTTATATAGGAAAATGTCCTTATTAGAGAGTCGTACTGAAGTCACACTTTTGGGGTGAAGTTTTCTCATATCTGTAATTTATTTTAAAATAGTTTGGCAACAGTAAAACAACGATGAAGGAAGTATGGAAAAATGTTAACAATTACTAAATGTTGGTGATGGGTATGTGGGTGTTCACCACATTATTTCCTCCAATTTTCAGTTTGTTTGAAATTTTTCATTAAAAACAAAACTCTCTGAGCTTCCCATTGCCCTTAGGAGGAAGACTAGATACCTGGGTCAGCATTCAAGGCCCTGCAAGCCCGGCTCCCATCACCCACCAGGCTTGTCTCCAACATCCCCGCTAGCCTGCATTCCAGCCCCTGCCAAGGCCTCAGCCCTCTCCACACTCAACTGGTCCTCTCTACCTCTGCAGCTCTGCAGGGCTGTTCCTCTGCCTTTCCATGCTCTGTCTCATGAACTCCTAGGTATCTTCAAGGCCCCACGTCAGAGCTCCAGCTCAGGGAACCAACGGCCCCTAGGGGCCCCTCTGAGCTCTCTGCACTGAGCTGCCCAGTGGTCTCACGTGAGTAGGTCTGATGGAATTTTATGAACATGTGTCCCCTCCTCCTGCCAAGAGCCACATCACAGTGGGCACAGGGCTTATGAGCCTCGGTCCCGTGAGCATGGCAGGTGACCCAGAAAGTGCTGCTGAAGGACAAACAGGCACGAAGGAAATCCTCAAAGAAAGGTTTGTGGGGACAAGGATGAGGTGGCAGTTACTGAGCTTTTAAAATTTTTTTGCTTTTTTTTCAAGTTTTCAAGCTTTTTTTTTTTTTTTAAGTGAATAAAATGATTCTCCGGTGAATAGTTTGGATCAGCTTAGTTTTCATAAACTGGGCTGCACTTGAATTCACGAAACTGTGATAACAAAATAAAGATAATGATGATGATTCTGTCAGGTGGATTTCTCTAGCTCCTTATCGTCTTTGACGTGTTTTTCCACTCACCCTCACACGGATCCTCACGCAACCCCAAGACAGAAGGGGCATGTGAGTGCGAATGTGAGTGTGTGTGTGTGTGTGTGTGTGTGTGTGTCAGACCACTTTGACAGATGTGACATGGACACCCCCAGGTGGTAAGTCACAGAGCGAGTTGGCGCTTCCTGGCACACCCCAGTCGGCATGGGAAACAGAGCCCAGCGGAGGGAGCCTTCACCCCGCACCCCACCCAGACCGGATGGCTCTACCCCATGGCGCCGGCCTCCTCTTCTCTCCCCCGTATTATCACCTCTTTATTTTCATGTTTTTCTTTCAATAGACTCACTTTTTAGAACTTAAATATATTTATTTGAAAGGAAAGTTTAAATAACTAATGTAAATGGAAAAGCAGCGACGCTTGCTATAAATAGAAGGGACACATGACAGGCACAATCAGCCCACATGGGGTTCCGTTCCAGCCAGGTGTGGCCCGCTCAGGGCTGTCTTGGCTTTAAAGAGAGCCAGCTGGGGCTGGGGTGGGTGTTTAGGACACGTGAGCACCAAACGGAGCCTTTCTCCGTGACAAGGTCAAAGAGTGAAAGAACAGAAAAGAAGAGATGGTTCTCCCCAGGGGATTCTGGGGCCTCCCCAGAGCACCCCAGCCTGGCACATCCCCAAGGCTGCTCTGGCCTCTGGCTCCCACGGGCCTCGGTACCTGACAGCCTACGCACTCTGTTTAGTGAGTTCTCTTCCTGACCTGGGGGGGCTGGGCACTGAGCCTAATTTAAATTTTGAAATGGCCTTAGGAAAGACAGGTTGTGACTTGTCCAGGGCCACATGGTGGGAAGACTTTCAGGTCTCACCTCCTCGGGGAGGCTCTCCTGACCTTGACCCCTTCCCCCCATTCACTCTTGATGTCCTTTTCAGACCCTCGGGGCTTCTTGTACCAAGGTGGCCAATTTCCTGCCCACCTGGCTTGCCGACGTGTGCTGCCCCCACCACCAGGGAGCCCCACGCTGCCCATGACCTTGTTGCCTGCTATGGCTCAGTCCCCAGAGGAGGTTAGGCACAGAAAACGGGCTCAGAGACAGGAGGGGTCAGGGCCAAGTCCACACAGCAAGAATGCAGAGGAATCCAGGCCAGGGCCCAGCTCTGTCTGACCACGAGTCCCAGAAAGCAAGGACCCTGGCTCCCCAGGCCTGGCCCAGTCTGAGCTCGGCACACCCTGTGTGAGGAAGGGGACCTTCTACTGGGGAGGGGCGGCCGGCCAAGGTGGGCTGAGGGACCTGAGGAGGAATGGGGAGGGTGAGGGGCTCGAGGCCAGGGCGGCCACCCCACATGAATCAACCCCGATGGAAGCAAAGAAAAAGGAGTAAAACCGAATGTCCTCGGAAATTCCTTTAGTGCTCAGCTGTCCATGAAAACAGGATAAAGTGGCTTCCTCTGTCTGTGCTCCAGCGGGCAGGGCGGAGGCGCTGAGCTCAGGCCAGGGTTCTTGAGTCAGGACAGGGGTGGGGTGGGGCTCTGAGCTGGGGAAGGGGCTCCGGCGCTGCTACTTGAGGGCGTCTAGGTGGGTGCAGACCTGGGAGAAGACACTGTCCACGGAGCCTTCGGCATTGACCTGCAGGGAGACGAGCCATGAGCACAGAGAGGCTGAGGAGGTCTGGGTGGGCCCCACCAAGGCTGGTCCCTCCTCCAGAGGCCAGGCATGGCTCCCGAGTCAAGCCACAGTGGACAGCAGTCCCTCATCAAACCAGTGGGGAGGGCTGGCCCAAGGTCACAGCAATCTGAGGCCGGGCCCAGTAAAAACCCGGGCTGCCGAGGACTCCCTTGGCCTGCAGGGGGCGCACCTTACGCACGATGCCACGTTTCTCATAGAAGGCAATGACAGGTTCTGTGGCCTTGTAGTAGGTGTCCAGCCGCTTCTTGATGGTCTCCTCGTTGTCGTCCACACGCCCGCTGGTCTCTCCCCGCTTCAGGAGCCGCTTGGTCATGGTCTCGGGGCCTGCGTCCACATACAGCAGCAGCGTGGGCTGTCCGATCTGCAGGTGGGGCACTCGTCACCGGGGCCCCACTCCTGTCCCTGTGGCCATCTCCTTCCCATCTTCTCACTCCTAGGGCCCCACTTGAGATCCATTCAGACCTTCGAGCCCTTCCGCGAGGCAGCCTGATGGACCTTCGTAAAACCGGTGCCCTCAGGACAAAGCCCGCACTCCTTCTCACCCTCCGGGGGCCGCCAGGGTTGGGCCCTGGCCCGCCGCCCACCTCAGCTGGTGCTTCTCACTCCTGTGCCCGCCTCGCTGCAGCCACGCCAACTCTCTGTAGTCTAGGTTGGCTCTCATCAACCTCTCCCTACGCCAGGCCTTCGCTCATGCCAGGGGCTCTGTCTCTCAACACCAAGGGCGCCCCTTCAGATGTGACAGCAGCGGAGCTGGGTAAGTACTCAACAGTCAAGGAACCAGGGCTCAGTGAAACGGTGAGGCTGAGCTCTGGGAAGTTCTGAGCAATGTCACTGTCTCTGGAGCGAGGGTTTCATCACCAGGAAGAGGGGGAAGGACAAGAAGAAATAAAGCCGACCCATCTCCCTTTGGTGAGGACATGGTGCCCCCTGGTGTCCTGAGTCAAAAAGACCAGATGCTGGGCCCTATGCCGAGCTGGCACCCACACCAGCACCCACGACAGCCCGAGGGGGTATAGGGACTTTTATTAAGCCCATTTCCGTGGCCCGGAGGGTTGGAGGTGACGTCACAGTGGGTGCACATGGGCCAGGCCAGGACGTGCCTCAGGGCTAGGTCAGGGCCTCCTAGTCTGAAGGAAGCCTGGCCGACCTCCATTTCACAGATAGGGAAACTGAGGCCAGATCAGGGCAGACATTTTTTTGAGGTCTTGCAGCCACTTAGAGGTCAAGAAATACAGTATAACACCTCTGGACAAGGCTCAACGCTATGGAAGCCTAAAGATGGCCCTAGCCCCGCAGGATAGGGAGTTGGGACAACGGTCTGGCCCTGCCCTCGGCCTACTGGGATGCCTGGTCCTCCCTGCAAGGCCTGGAAGGACCCCCTCTGCCAAGCAGCCCTCCCTGAGCCCCCCACACCCTTGCTGACCCCTGCCTCCTAGGCACGGCAGCTTTATGTTTCCCCCATGTGACACCAGAGGTACAGGTATAGGTGTGTGCATATGTGTGCATCCCCGTGTACAGGCATACTGAGTCTGTGTACATGCACTGTCTGAGGTGTGTGTGTGTACACTGCCAGATGTGTGTGTACATGTGCACAGGCCTGCATGCATGTGTGCCTGTGGCCTCGTGCACGTGTATAAGTGCCTCCACGCCTGCACATGTGCACAGGCCTGCATGCACGTGTGCCTGTGCCTGTGGCCTCGTGCACGTGTATAAGTGCCTCCACGCCTGTGTGTACATGTGCGCGTGCTTGTGTGCCTGTGTGTGCATGCAGATGACTGCGCATGTGTGTTTTGGGGTGAGGTACTTCTACCCTGCATAGGGTTTTCCAGATGAGCCCCCATGTCAGGCAGCCCAGAGGCATCATCCTCAAGGCCTATTGTCTCTTGACAGGCTCCTAGTGGCCCCCAGGAGACGAGACTCCCCTCCCCAGCACTGGAGGCCTCCGGCCAGGGCTGAACCTCCCTTCGGCACATCACCCCCAGATGCTTTGTCCCCATAGCTTGTTTTCCCCACATCGGCCTGACTCCTCCAGCCCTGTCCATGGCATTCCCTGCCCCTCTGATGTGCGTTTACTGAGTACCAAGCCCCACTTTGCAGGGTACGTTCTCTCTAACCCCCCTGCCGCCCCTCAAGGCAGCTGTGCCTGTCTCTCCCCATTTTGCAGATGGGGACACTGAGGTTCAGAGAGGCGGGAATGACGGACCAAGGCCCTGAGCAGTTGAGCTGGACCCTGAGCCCAGGCCTGTGAGCTCCCTGGCCTGATGCTCCCTATTCTTCCAGACTTTTCTTCTCAACTCCTAGAAAGCCTCCCAGAAGGTCCTTCCTGTTTTCCCTCCTTATTCAACTCCCCTGCCGCCACCCCCAACCCCTGCAATCAGTGTTTCTGTCTCTGCCCATCACAGCAGCCTCTACCTGGCCACCCCACATCACAGCTCCAAAAGGCCACCCACCAGGTTGTGCCTTACCCTCTGCTCAAACTCTTCCCCCTGTTGCACCTCCCGAGGGTAGCCATCGATCAGGAAGCCTTTGGAAATGTCTACCTTGGCTACCATGGCATCTCGGAGCATGTCCAACACTGTCTCCTGGGGGCACAGCAGAAGGAGGGGCCGTGAGCCCCTTTCCCCCCAACCCCTCATGGGCCCTGGCGTGCGCTGCCCCACAGCTGAAACACCCTCTGCCCTAACACAGATATTCCAGACAAGACTCCCTCTCCAGGCCTTCTCTGAACTGAGAAGACTTGATTGAATCATTCATTCATTCATTCATTCATTCACTTATATTGACTGAGCCCCTCCTCTCAGCCAGCTCCCGTTAGGGCCCTGAGGACACAGCTGTGAACGAAGCAGGCCTTCCCTGCCCTCAGGAAACTCACGGTCTGCCAGGGGGCAAACAATTACACAGATGATTTATAAATTTCCAAACATGACACAGGTTCTCTGGACAAAGAGGGGAGGCTATTGGAGGTTGGGGGGGCAGGGAGGGTCTTAGCCCAAATCTGAGGAGTCAGGAAGGTCTGAGAGTTGAGAAGGAAAACACACTCCAGGCACGAAGGCCTGTGATGAGTTTGAAGGGGAAACGAGGCCAGGGTGGTAGGAGGGTGGAGGGGTAAGCAGCACAAGGTCCTGGAGGCTCTTGGGAGCTTCTGGAAGGAATTTTCTGCCCAGAGCAATGGGGATCCACAAAAGGGTTCAGAGCCAGGGAAGGTCACGGTCAGCTTTGCCAGCGTGTCACGGGCTTTGCTGGCTGATGTCCACTCAGAGCCACCATCACCCCACTGCCCCCTCCCCCGCCGGGGCTCACTCACCAGCGGCACCAGCTGCCCCTTCTCCATGATTTCCGACAGCATCTTGCCCCTGGCCGAGCCCGAGCTGACCTCGGCCCGCAGGAGGTCCCCGGTGGAAAGGTGAGTATAGCCGTACTTCTGGACAATCTTCTCACACTGGGTGCCCTTCCCCGAGCCGGGCCCGCCTGCAAGCGCCCACCTATTCAGAAGCCCCAAGAAACGGGGCCCCCGCAGGGACAGGCTGCCCCGGCTACCCAGCGGAGGAGGGGCAGAGCCCAGGGTGCAGCCCCAGGCCCTGGCTCCCACCAGGGCCTGTGAAAAAACACAGCCCTGCCTGTGCCTCACCCGCCTGCCTCGGACTCACCCACCACAAAGATGATCTTGGTTTTCTTCAGCTTCTCTGTGGGAGAGAAAAGGGGAGCAGAGCTCAGTCACTCGCTTGACAAATAGCCAGAAGCACGTCCGGAGTCCCAGGCCCGAGCTGGGCCTGAGGCAGAGGGACAGACACAGCTCACGCTCCTGTGAGGGAGGCAAACGAGTCACAGCCGGTCGTGAGTAGTGATGGGGTCAGGAAAGCTCAGAGACTGGAACAGGTCAGGAGGCGAGAGGGTGTCCCAGGCAGAGAGACTAGCCGAGGCAAAGGCCTGGAGGCTACAGGCACAGGCTGTGAGGGTGGCCCTGAGGGGCTCTGATGCCAGCCCTCACGCCCCCTCCCTGTGGGTGGCTGGACTCCAGCAGCGGGTCACCTCTGGCCTTATAGTCTTCTTTACTGCGGGAGTTTCCTGTGGAGCAGCAGGCACCCATGGTCCTGCTCCGCTGTGTCCCCTACCCTTCCCCTCCCAGGCCCTGGGCCTGCCCATCATCCGCCTTCGTTGGGCGGTACAAATGGGGAGCTGGCAGCCACAACATAGGTTGCCCTGGAGACAGTTGCTGGGAAAAGGACCGCAGTGAGTACGTGGAACCCTTGCTTGGAGAGAACGCTTGTCAGCTAACATTCCAACCTCGGCCTCGCCGGCCCTTAGAACACACAGACCACAGCCCCACCGCCAGAGGGAAACGAGGCCCAGAGAGGCAGGGGCCTGCTCTAGGGCTGCCGGAACCTGGCTGGGACGCAGGGCCTCTTCCCAGGCTGCCGGCCTCCCCTCCTTCTCAGAAGAAAGACCTCCCTGTGAGACCTTAGGAAAGAATGCCACACCCCTCGCTGGTTCTCTGACCCTGTCCCAAGGAGGAGGTGAGCCTGGCAGTTCCCAGGGGCCCTCCTGGCCATGGGGCTAGAGCCTGGGGGTGCTATCAGAGGAACGACTTCTCCTGTGGGTTCCCACCACCTACCTGCCTGCCATGTGATGGGTGTGGGGGGAGGCCACGGCCCAGTGGCAAGTGACATTCAGAGCTCCAGGGCAGAAGGGTGACCACTGGTTTCGGGCAGCAGCAGCAGCCAGGCCCACTGGGCTCCTTTAAGAGCTGCCCAGGCTGAGGCGCAATGCCAGGAATGGGGTGGGTAGCACTGCCAGGAGGCGGGCCAGCTGGGCTCTCTGGCCATGACTCCTTCCCGATCCAGCCCGCAGGAGCCAGGGAAGCCTATGACATCCTCTAGACCCAGCCACAGTACAACCTGGAAACTGTGTCCCAGAGAGGGCCATATGCACGTGTGGGGCCCTCCCCAAGGCCGGCCTCCCCTCGCCAGTGCCCACCCTCTCCAGAAAGAGGCAGGGATTCAACTCTAAAAATACCAGCGTAGGAGGTGAGCTGTGGGGCCCTCAGGTGCCTCAAGGAGGCCTCGTCGCTTCTAAAATTAATCTTGAAGTTGGCACATCCTGTGAGAGGCCTGAGGAGGATGCTGGAGGCTCCCAGGCAGGCCCCCCCTGACAGTCCCAGAGCCTCCTTCAACCCCTCCCAGAATGTCTCCCAAAAGCGCACCCCCTTAACAGATGGGCACATTGAGGCCGGGGCAGTGAGCAGGAGAGGAGAGGGGCCTCCATACCTTCCATCCTGCCGAGGTCCGGGGAGCCGAGTCAGCGCTCTGTAAGACAAGGGCCCAGGTGGGGCGGGTGAGCGGGATTCTCTCCACCCTGCCTCTGCTCCAGCCAAGCCACCGGCGTGTGTGCCAGGCCCCGACATGCCTTTGAAGGGAGGAGGGGACGCTGGAGGCAGGGAAGGCCCAGGAGGCCGGGTGACCTTGGGAAAGTCATCTTCCTTCCATGTGCTCCTGCTGCCTCACCTGTCAAGGGCAGCACCTTGCTCCCCGCCACTGAGGGGCATAAACCGCGACACCAGCAACTGCGAGCCGTTCCCCTTGCAAGTCCCAGGAAACAGAGCTCAGTCCTGCATCTGCCTGACACCTTGACAACGCTCTGGCTCCCCAGGGAAAGCAGCTAAGGAAGTGGAGGGAGGAGGGAGGAGAGACCAGAGCTGCATGTGTCCTCACCCAGGATGGGGTTTGGGAGGGTATTCAAAGGGATGCACAAGTCTGAAGGGGAGGAAGCTGCTGGAGCCGTTCGTGTGGACACAGCCCTGCAGTTTTCAAAGGAGGGGTCCCCAGGCTCTCAGTCCCCCACCCCGCACAGGTCCAGCTTCTACCCCCCATGTGACCCCTGCCCCTTCGCCCCCTTGAGAACCTTGCTCCACTGCCCTCCCATCCCCTCAGCGTGTAAATCAACCCTAACCCCTCTTGTCACCCACTTTGCTTCCACAGCCCCCCAGGGACCTCCCTCAATCTCGCCTTCCCATCAGTCTCTTCAGAATTGCCGCCCGTACTCCCTGGGGCCCCACCCACCAGCCCTCCCCAAGGCTACCAGCAACCATTACAGCCACTCTTGCCTTGACCTTTGACCCTCAGCCAGCATTCCTCTGGCGGCCCCCACACCCCAGGTGTCTACTCCACCCTCTCACTGTTGGTTTCAGGTTCCCAGGAGCCCACTTCCCTGCCCAGCCAGCCCAGGCCTCTCTACCCAACCCCATAAGTCAACAACCCCTGGACAGGCCCAAGGCTCTGAACAATGAGTCCCTCCTGCTTCCCCAGCTAAAGGACCTTCTCTCACACCCCCCTCCTCCGCACGAGCACTTCCCAGTCCTCTTGCTCCTAAACCCCTCCTCAGTCTGTGTCCTCACGGCCACTTCCTTGCTCCAAGGAGGTCTCCCCACCTCCATACCTCACGAGGCAACCTGCAGGAATTTTCCACAAGCTTGAGACCATGTCACTCGCCTGCTTAAAACCTTTCCAAGTGTAGACTCCTCAGGTCCCAAGAGATAAAGCCTGGGCCCCAAAGGTAGCCGATGGCCTGGTGATCTGCCTCCACCCCTCTGCCGCTTTATCGGCTGCCACTTAAACTGCTGGGGGCTCCCTCACCTACCATGACTGTATCCCACCTCCAGGCCCCCGCTGGAGCCCCCAATGCCTGGATGCCTTTCCCCAAGGTGCTATTGTTCAAGCCTCAATTCAGATTGGTCACCTCCTTCAGGAAGCCTTCCTGGAATCTGCCCTCCACTTCCATAGTGGCGGCTGTCCCCTCTGAACTTGCCCTGGCGTCACACACAGCATACTGTGTTAGACCTCTCTGTTGTGCTGCAGGCCTGTCTTCCCCTGGCCCGGGCTGAGCCTAGGCTAGGGGACCTTGCTCCATCGTCACGACCCTCTCAGGAGGAATCTGAGTCTTAGAGGAGATGAGAGACTGTTCCAGGGCCAAGCTGCGATCAAACCTGGGGCTGCCGTTTTCTGCTGCTCTGGGACCAGCACCCAGTAGGTCCTTAAGCAGCTTTGCTGACCATTCCCCTT